TGGAAGCGGGGAGGCAGCCGGAGCACGCTGGTGGTGGTTGGCGTCTTCCAGGATTGGCCTTTGAGCTGGGCACACTTCCCTCTCTGAGCCAGGGAGGTTGGCCTCCTGCTCTGGGCAGCTCGTAAGGTCAGCTGGGCAAGGGCAGGAGCCAAAGCCCCAGGGTGCCAATTCGAGCAGGGCACTGGCCTTTCTGATGGAGCCTGTAACTCCATCCGTCCCACAGTGTCAGATGCTGGAGACCTGGACAGGAACATCAGCACAGCCATCTATGGCCAACAGAGGCCTTTCCCGCTGTTTCCCACAGGCAGGGAAAGAGGGCTGGAGAGGAGATAGAGCGATGGACAGACTCAGATTTAATCTGACAAGTGTTTCCTGAGCACCTACTGTTTGCCAGGCCCTGGGCGAGAAGCTGAAGATGGAGCACCCAGAGCATGTGGTTCAGCTGCTGGGGTTAGGCCTTTTGGCCTGGCCTGGTGAAAACCCAGACAGAAATACCGGTTCTCGTGGAGCCCACATCCTAGTTGGGGGAAAAGCCCTGAGGAGCCGGGGCTTGGGAGCTGGTGTGGCCTGCCCAGGGTCTCCCTCCCTCTGGCAGGTATGGGTCCTGCCACCTGAAACAGACCTTCCCAGGTCGTGGTGATAAACTCACCTCACAGACCTCAGAGGCTGCTGTGGAAATTTAGTAAGCGAGGTACAGGAAACATAATGATTTGATTACTGTTGCTTTTACTATTGTGGTTAGACCTATCATTATAAATTTTATTCTGTTATTGCTGTCATTACCACAGGCCACTCCCGAGTTCTGAAGCTTTCAGCAGTTTCCCCAGAGGGAGAATGTAGGAGTGAACCTTCCGTGACCTACGGAAGAACCGTCTCTTGGCAGATTCAGAGTCTGGAGTTGGTTGTTTTTTTTTTCCCAAGAAGCAGCCAGCAACACAACTAGGGCAACTTCTTTCTTTCAAGGCAGCTTAGAAAAATTGGCTTGGTGCGCCCCCTGCTGGAGCTTTGGGGACTGCCTTGGAATTCTGACCCATCCTTCATTCTGTTCTACAGACCTGGAGGCCCAGAGGGGGCAATCTTGCTCAAGGTCTGACAGGAGAACAGGTCACGTGTCTTTTTCTTTACTCTTCCTACTGCAGGATGCCTCCCTGTCTCCTCCTCATTCATTCTCCAGGTGTCTCTTCTCAGCCTGGGGTTGTGGGGAGATGTGGGTGCAGCCCTCCATACTGACCAGTCCCTCTTTTCTCTCTTTTTCTCTCTCTCTCTCTCTCTCTCTCTCACACACACACACACACCACTTACTGAGCCCCACCCTGGGCGCTTTCCGGGAGCTTCCTGCCAATGTCGGTTACTTTCTGAAAGCATTGCACAATGAGTTGGGCTAATACAAACTCCTTCCGTTATAAAAAATTTAGTCTTAGGCGTGGAAGTTCCTCTTCGTCACAAAGTACCACATTCGGCAAGGTGTTTTTCTTGTATCTTTCTGTTCTCCACAGAAACTGGGTTATCTTTCTTTCTTTTTTTTTTTAAATTGAAGTGTGGTTGATGTACAATATTTTTTTAATTATTTCTATACAGCAGAGTGATTCAGTTATACATACACACGCACATATACATTGTTTTTTATATTCTTTTCCATTATGGTTAATCACAGGATATTGAATATAGTTCTCTGTGCTATACAGTGAGACCTGGTTTATCCATTCTATGTATAAAAACTTGTATCTGCCAACCCCAACCTTCCACTCTGTCCCTCCCAGCCCCCTCCCCTTGGCAACCACTGCTCTGTTCTCTGTTTCTGCTTCTGTTTTGTAGGTAGGTTCATTTGTGTCATATTTTAGATTCTACATATAAGTGATAGCATACATAGTATTTGCCTTTCTGACTAACTTCAGTTACTGTGATCATCTCTGGTTGCATCCATGTTGCTGCAAATGGCATTATTTCATTCATTTTTATGGGTGCAGTATTCCGTTGTGAGTATGTACTACACCTTTATCTATTCACCTGTCAATGGACATGTAGTTTGTCTCCAACATCTTGACTGTTGTGAGTAGTGCTGCTATGAACATAGGAATTCATGCATCTTTTTGAATTGGAGTTTTGTCTGGATATATGCCTAGGAGCGGGATTACTGGATCATATCAGTTTTCTGAGGAACCTCCATACTGTTTTCCACAGTGGCTGAACCAAGTTACATTCCCACCAACAGTGTAGGAGGGTTCCTTTTTCTCCATACCCTCTGTGAGGTGGTACCTCGTAGTTCTGATTTGCATTTCTCTAATAATTAGTGATTTTGAGCATCTTTTCACATGTCTGTTGGCCCTCTGCATGTCTTCTTTGGGGAAATGTCAGTGTAGGTCTTCTGCCCATTTTTTGATTGGGTTGTTTTTCTTTTGGTGTTGTTGAGTTGTATGAGCTGAAACTGAGTTTTCTCTAAGGTGTTGCAATCTGAATTTTTCTCTTTTTTTAATATTTTTTTTGAGGTGGACCATTTTTAAAGTCTTTGTTGAATTTGTTACAATATTGTTTCTGTTGTATGTTTTGGCTTTTTGGCCATGAGGCATGTGGGAATCTTAACTCCTGGATCAGGGGTCTAACCCACACCCCATGCTTCAGAAGGCTGATTCTTAACCCCTGGACCACCAAGAACATTCCTGAATTTTTCAGCTAATAGTTTATCTCTGACACTTTGCCATCAGTATGTGTCCACCCAGTATAGGTTATTTTTTGAATACTCTATAATTCATGCAATGCCTAGCCTTTTCAGGGACATTTGGGAGCTTCCCTGTCACTGACCGTGTACAGTAAACATCCTCACACTATGAAGAGCGTTGGCATTTGCCTTCATATGTCTGGAACTGGGATTTGCTGGGCCCATCTCAACTAGAGTACTGTGAACTCCTATGGTCAGGCCAGTGTCTTAGACCCCACCCCCCCAACCCCTGCTTCCTAACTCAGGGTCTGCCCAGTGGCCAGAATCCCTGTGGTGACTGTGTGATTTGACTGCCTTCAGAAAATCATCGGTGCTCAAAGGGAGATACTTCTATTCCCTTAGCAGATTAACCTTTTAAAATATATATATAATAGCAGTATCCATTCTTGACAAGGGTGCAGATAAATGGACAATCTTACAGGCTGCTGGTGGGAATATAAATAGGAACAGAACTGAACTTACGAGTGTTATTTACTCATCTTTTTCGGTTATTATAAATACCATTATGTCATTCAGGAAGGCAAATGTGTCAAAATATTGTGTCTTAAACATTATTTCACCCTTCCCTTTAGCTTAGCAATTCTACTTCTAGGAATGTACTCTAAAGAAATAGCTAGACATAGGCTGAAATATTTACATAAAGACCTAGTGCTGCCTATTTGTTGTTGTTTAGGCGCTAAGTTGTTTCTGATTCTTTGCAACCGCATGGACTGGAGCCCGCCAGGCTCCTCTGTCCATGGGATTCTCCAGGCAAGAACACTGGAGTGGGTTGCCATGCCCTTCTCCAGGGGACCTTCCCGACCCAGGGATCGAACCTGGGTCTCCTGTGTTGCAGTCAGACGCTTTACTGTCTGAGCCAGCAGGGATGTGTTCATGTCTAGGGGACTCTTCAAATATTTTATGATATACCCAAGGACATGTGCAAAAATCATCTATAGAGAACCTTCAGGACATGCTTTAGGGAGTTTCCAACAGTAAACTATAAAAGACAGCATACTATAGTATGATCTCCAGGTCTTTGTTCACATGCATATGGTTCTTTATATATGTGGCTCTCCTCTCTCTCAGCTGTAGAATCAACCAGCAGGGCTGTTGACCACCATCTCTGTAACCGTGTCGGTAACAACAGGGCTTCTTTGGTGGCTCAGTGAAGAATCCACCTGCAGTGTAGGAGACCCAGGTTCAGTTCTGGGGTTGGGAAGATCCCCTGAAGAAGGGAATGATTGTCCACTCCAGTATTCTTGCTGGAGAATCCCATGGACAGAGGAGCCTGGCGGGCTCCAGTCCATGGGGTCACAAAGAGTCTGACATGACTGAGCCACTACCTCTTTCACTTTGACTGTAGTGATAAAGCCTAATTACCCGTCTTTCTTCCCCGCCCACCCGGCGTCTCACAAGCCATCCTCTGTCCACCTGCAGTATTCACATCAGAAACATCAGCTGCACGTCAAGTCCTGGTGATTGATCCACCAGATCACATCTAGAATCTTTCTGACCATCACCACCTCCTTCCTTCACCCACCATCTTTCTCATACCATAACTGGCCCCCCTTTGGGCCTGCTCACTCCAGGGGCCAGAGTCATCTTTGAAAATGCTGATCTGATCGTCCTGAGAGAGCAGCTGCAGATGCGAACAGGGCCCTGCCCAGCTCAGCGGTGTCCTGGGCGCCTCAGTGTCACGGCCCTTGCATTTCTAACACCCACCATGCCTTCCCTCCGCAGAGCCTTTGCACGTGCTCTTCCCTGCAATCCTAGACTCCTCCTCTACCTATCCCTCCTGGAATCTCAGCTAAAATATCACTTCCTGTCCCTCAGCCTTGGTCAGGCCCTGGTTGTTCCTCTGGCACCCTGCTTTCTCCCTGCAAACCCTGAGCACCGTGGCTATTACTTAGGTGTTAGAAATTAATTACCTTAAATGACCCAACAGACTGTAAGCTCCCTGAGGGCAGGGACTGGGGCTGACTTGTTCATTGCTGCATCTGTGGCCCCTGGCCAGTGCCTGGTACATGGTGTTGATAAATGTGTAGAGGGTTATCATGAACTTTAGAGGAAAAAAAAGATGCCCTTTAAAATGGTAGTGGTAGTTCTGGGGGTATAAAATTATGAATGACTTAATTTGTTCTTTGCAGTTTCCTGTGCTTTCTGTTTTGTGGTCCATGAGCAAGGCAGCAGTTGTCATTTTGTCAGAAGCCACCCGTGTTGGGTCTTCTCTGCAGGGTACGCTTGGGCTCACCTCTGCCCTCCTGCCCTTGCCTCCACAGGCCTGAAGAGCGATGCAACAGGCATGATGGAGGTCGAGTCCTCCTACTCGGACTTCATCTCCTGTGACCGGACGGGCCGCCGGAACGCGGTCCCTGACATCCAGGGAGACTCCGAGGCCGTGAGCGTGCGGAAGCTGGCTGGCGACATGGGCGAGTTGGCCCTCGAGGGTGCAGGTCGGAACCCACAGGCACACTTGGGTTCAAGCACCTGGGGCAGGAGACCCTCTTCTGGGCTCCAGGGCTGGCCTCTTAAGTCCCAGGCTGCCCCCTCTTTCTCAGAGAAGAAACTGCCTTTAAATCAGGCCCCCAGCCCAGGGTCAGTGGCGGAGGGCAGCCAGTCCCCAGGCGGGAGGGTGCCAGCGTCTCAGGCCATCCTCATGCCCTCTGGCCAGGCATCCCAGCGCTTCCCTTGCCCCTCAGCCTCCCTGCCCATCCACAGGCCCCGTCGGTTCCCCTCCGCCGTCCCTCCCAGTCCCTCTGCTCCTCTCTGTCCCCACGGCCACCACCAGGCTCAGGCTGCTCCCAGCAGCACAGCAGCCTCTGCCCGGGCCTCCCTGGCCCGCCCTCACCACAGCCTTCCTCCCAGACACCTGCCAGCAGGATTCATCTATAGCCTCCGTCCCACCCTGCTTCTTCCAGTTCATCCCCTGGCCCCCTTTATCTCCCAGTTTCCTCTGCTAGAACATCCTCCACCCAGTCCTGGCTGCCCCAGGAGCCTCCCCCTCCATCCTTACAGCGTCCTACCCATCTGTGGTCCGCCCTCCCTCGTCCTGCGGCCCGATCTCCCCAGGCTCTAGAGCCTCCCCGGGTCTGAACCTGCTCTCCTCCAGCCTCCAGGCCCATCTTTCTCCCCTGTGCCTCTGATCCAGCCGAGGAAGGGACTCCCGTTTCTTGAAAATCCCCAGTGGGCCTCCGTGCACTCTCCCTGTCTGGTCCTTCCTGGCCTCCCCATGCCAGTCTGGCTGTTCCACTTTGTTCTATAGCCCAGACTGCTCTGCTGAGAAGTCTCCTCTGACTTCATCGCCCTCCCAGACGGGGGAGGCACCTTCTCTGGCCACCTCCATGATCCCACAGAGCCCAGAGATCCTCTGGGATCCGCGTCCTGACCTCTTGGGGCCTGGCAGTGTTTGGTTCATATCAGGGGTGCCTGGTTGGTGGCTGTTCGCTGACTAGCACGTCCAGCTGCCACGCTGGGCCTGCGGCCAGGGGACTGGCTGCCAGGCCTCTGCGTCTGCCAGCTGGACTGTTTTCTGCCTCCCTCGACCTCAGTGTAGTGGCTCATCCACCCACCCAGGCCCTCTCCTGCCTGCTCCCACCCGCATCCGATTTGAAATCCCTGAGGTTATCTGGGCGTCTTGGCATCTGTCTGCCCGGGTGACAGGCCGTTAAGAAGGGGCCCTGAGGAAGGAGTACTGCTGGCTGCAAGTCAGCAAAGCCCTCCTGGTGGAGTGCAGGCTACAGTGAGTGGCCAGGGAACCTTCTAGTAGGCCCTGCAACGAGCAGCTTCCCCTGCAAGTCTTACAAGCCGTGCTCAGTCCGGCGGACTCACTAGGTTACAGAGGTTACAGGTGCTGAAGGCCCCGGAGCATCTGCTTACTTAAATCTCCTGGGAGACAGATGCCCAGCCCGGGTGAGGGAGGAGGAACCAAGGCTTTCACCTGTCCTTGAAGGCCTGGCCTCCAGGCTTCCCCAGGTCATCCATGTGTTAAGGCTTCTCAAGCCCTTTGTGTGCAAACCTTTGTCTGCTCCCGTGTTTCCTTCTGTGGGGAGCACCAGTGTTTCCTTACTTGGCCAAATAATGAGACATAAACAACCAAGCAGGACATGAAGAAATACGAATGCACCGCCTGGCAGTATGTGACTGGAAATTTTCCAAATCATACTCTGAAACTGGCCCCAAGGGAGTCCGTTCCAGGGGGGCTTGGGGACCTGCTCTCTGGGCCAGAAGAGAGCTGGGACCTGCAGAGGGGAAGCCTTACCCCTGGGCAAGCTGTCCCCGGGGGCCTGGCGATTGCGGAGGGCCAGAGGTGTTGTCATCCTCACTTCCTGGATCAGGAATTAGAGGCTCAGAGAGGATAACTGTATTGCCCGAGGCCCTACAGCAAGGACATGGCCAAACAGCAGGTCCTGGGAATCTGACTAGAATGTTCTGCTTGCCAGGGCGGGAGGCTTAGGACCCAGCAGGGTGTCACACGTTGGGAAACCTGCCCCAAGTGCTGGCTGCTTTGTCAGGCTTCTGGCAGGCCAGGAGGACCCTATGGGACCAAGTCTTTGCTGCAGGCAGGGCCTCAGGATAGGCGAGGTCGGAGGGGCTGGTGGCCAAGTTCTTCCCACATCCCCCGCCCCACTACTCACCCCAGTCCCCAAGACGGCTGTCAGGGCAGAAAGAGGTGGCAGCAGTGATGGGCCTTTATAAACCCTAGAGAGAGATGCTTTAGGGACCGGCTTCAGTCAGGGGAAAGGTCACTGCTCCCTCCACCACTTGGCTCTCAGGCAACTCATTTCACCTCTCTGAGCCTCAATTTTCTCCTCTGAACCTCGGTTTTTCTCACTCAAATTGTATTATGACCCTCATCATGCCTCCAGGCTGCTGTGTGACCACCTGGAAAGTACTTGTTAGCCTGCAGCCTAGGGATCCTGGTACACGGTAGTTTCTCCTTTATCCTGTAAAGGGCTCAGCCTAAGGATGCAAAGACGGGGCCTAGAGAGGGAGATAGGGGTGGTCTAGGGAGGACACAGCACAATGAAACAGCCTCAGGCTCCACCCTAGACCCTCTGCAGGCCACCCTTGGTGCTCCCCTGAGTTGGCATCTTCATTTTTTAAATATTTATTTATTTGGCTGTGCTGGGTCTTAGTTGCAGCAGGTGGGATCTTCGATGTTTTTTTTTGGCTGATGTTTTTAGTTGCTGCTGATAGGATCTAGTTCCTTGACCAAGGATTGAACTTGGGCCCTGTGCATGAGGAGCATGGAGTCTTAACCACTGGACCACCAGGGAAGTCCTGAGCCAGCATCATCTGATGCCCTTTTCCCTGTCTTGTAAGAATTACCATTTGCTGAACACCTGTCACATGCTAGAACCTCACATGCCCTCTCCCCCCCGCCCCAACCCTGGAGAACCCACTCAAATATCCTGACCCTCAACAGCTCTTCACCTGATGCTTGTAGCATCCATCCATGATCCTGGCCCTTCATTGATTTTAATTATTCCCCTGTGGCTTAGTTGGTAAAGAATCCACCTACAATGCCGGACACCTAAGTTCAATCTCTGGGTTAGGAAGATCTCCGGGAGAGGGAAATGGCACCCTACTCCAGTATTCTTGGCTGGGAAATCCCATGGACAGAGGAGCCTGGCGGGCTACAGTCCCTGGAGGAACAAGAGTCAGACATGACTTAGACTAAACTACCACCACTGCATACTAGTAACAGCAGATGCATTTCCTTTGTAGAAATTAAAAGGATGCAGACCCAGATAGAGTTCCCTTTGGCCGCCACCGCCCCAGTCCAGCTCCTGTCCTGCTCCTCAGGCTTATCCACACTGTTCCCGCTGTGGCCAGGCCCCGCCAGACCTTCTACCCTTTACGTTTGTGACTATGTCCCTCTCCCTCTCCTCTGCAGAAGGACAGGCAGAGGTGGGCACCTCAGACAAGGAAGCCAGCAGCCAGCCCAAGAGCAGCGATGGCACTGCCTCATCTTGAACGTGACCTTGCCCGAGGAGGCTGGACGGGAGCTGCACCGTGGACCCGGAGCCCTGGCATTGCCCTGAGCAGTGTGTTCCAGGCAAGCAGGGCCAGACTGAAAGGCGGGCCCAGGGGCTCCCGCGGCCCCCTCCCTGGAAGGCCCTCTGCCCGCACCCCCAGGCTCCACGCCCCCACCACCTCCCCCCTGCGCCTGGGTACATTTCAAGACACTGTAACCGCAAGGATGTAATTTATTCAGTAGGTGCCGGGACTCAGGGGCTGGGTCCTGGCCCCAGGGGTGAGCAGCCCGGGCGGGATCACGTCCCAGCTCAGCCCCCTTGTCTCCAGCCTTTCCAGCCTTCTGAGTCAGGACACCTTCTTACCCTGTTTTTTAAAAAGCACTTTTAAACTTTTTAGAAACTTTCAACCTTTTCTCAGCAGAGAAGGAAGGGAGCTGACAATTTACTTTTTTTTTTTTTGGAAGCCATTGTGAGCTAAGCTCTTGGACCATCTATGCAGCTCTGAGGTTCCCTCCTGGAGCTTCACAGATCCATTTTTAGGGAAGGGATTTTTGTGCTCAAAACCATCTTGATTAACTCTCTGCCCTTTCTACCAAGATAAGTGACACCTAGAACCCAGGAAATAAATGCTGACGATTTGTGTGACTGGTTTACGATGACTGTTTCTCCTGTAAACAGCAAAAAGCAGGAGCTGGGCCTTGTTTCCCCAAGGCCACGACTAGCTGAGACCCACTGCTGCCCCAGGCTCCCGCGCACCTGGGAAGTAGCTGAGAAGATGCCGGGGTTCCACAGAGCTGCCACTCCTCAGCCCAGTATCTGATGAGTCCTCTTCCACCTCACCCTCTCCCACCCCACTTCACAGCTATGGGAACCCAAAAGGAAAGTTTCCCCCTTAGGACCTAGGGTAGAAGGGGGTTAAGAGTTCAGGGAGCATTTAAGAAACTGACTCTTCAGGAGAAGCCTGTTTTTTTCTGGAAACCTTTCTGTCCTCCCTCTTCCCATTCATAACCCCCGCCAGGCTCTCAGGACACTGCTGCTGGGCAGACTGCCTGCAACTGGGGGCCCCAAAGCCCCTTCCATTCTCTACAAAACCCAGGTCGCCCGCCCCAGACGGCAGTGCACACACCGGGGGGCTGCACGACCCCAGCCGCTGGCTTTATTGAGCACCAGATTTTCAGCAGAAGTCACCAGAGGAGGAGGAATTCGGGTTCAGCCTGCCCCAGGCCCTGCCCTGGCCCAGGCACACACAGGGGAGCCACGGCCCCGCCGAGGCATGTGTGTGTACGGAAGGAGGCACGTGGGCTTCGTGATCATTGGTAGATGATTCTGGAAATCACAGTCTCCCTGGAAGGAGTAAAGGTAAGATGTCGCTTGACCCCGGAGCTGTGAAGGCTCCATCCGCAGGGCCAGGACTTGGAGAGGTAGCCACGGCGTCTTCACGGACGCTGCTCTGCTTGACAAGTCAGAGAAGCAAAAGATTAGGCAACTTGTAGTATCCAGGACATCAAACAAACAGAAAAAAATCACAGGACATCAGAGCCAGAGAGGAATCCCTTTGTACAGATGGGGAGACTGAGGCTTGGAGCAAGGAGGGCTCTGTCAAGGCCACAGAGGAAGGAAGGAGCAGAACGGAGCTGCGACCTGGGCTCAACTCCCTGCCCTTGACTTTGGGCAGCCCTGGAGATGCCCCAGATTGCCGAGACCTTTGGCAGTGGGTTTCAGAAAGTCTTGTCCCCAGACCAGCCTCATGAGAGCCTTACACAGAACATAAGCTGGTCTTGTGAGGGGATACCACCAGCCAGGGAGGCATCACCCAGCCTTGGTGCTGCCCAAGAGAGGAGTGGAGAGCATCCTGCTAGAAGCCACCAGAAGCCAGGCGGGAGCCAGGGCAGGACACCAGCCCAGCAGGTCCACCAGAAACATACCTGCGGAGGCCGGAGAGGGCATCCCGTAGGCCTTATAGAGCAGATCAAGGAGCTCCGTCTTCTCATCTTCAGGGAGGAAACTGGACTTTGCCGCATTGATGTTCTGGAAGGGCCAGCACGACAGACAGCATGTAAACCAGACAGCACGGAAGTGAGCCCTTGGCAATCTAGTCACAGTCCAGCCTCTTCATTAAACACGGGCAATTTGTTAAGCTCAGTGTGGGGAGCCCTTGTTCAGGGTCACAGGCAGCAAGTGCCAGAGCAGAGACCATGAGGGTCTGTGTTCTTAAAGTGATGGGACGTGACACACAGATGCGGAAGGAGGCTGGAGAAACCTTTGAAGACAGGGCAGGATGTGTGGGGCCAGAGTCCTGCGGGGACAAACTGGGGGTATCAGAACCACTGAACTCAAGGGCTCATCCTGGGGTCCAGGAGTGCCTGCAAACCACATGTAGGATGTAGAGCTGAGCCCCTTTCTGGGGAGATGGCTGACAGCATTGAGGGTCTCTCAGGGCACTAGAGCCAAGCACAGGATAGAAATCAGTCCCAGGCCAGGATCTCAGCCACAGATGTCTTCTCTGTGGAAGACCTCAAACTCTGGGTCTGGCTTGGCCTGGCCTGTTGAGACTCACCCCTAGTTCTCCAGAGGTTCCAGGACCTGCAGGCCACACACTCACACAGCCCAGAGTTAAGGCTCACAGCCACTCACCAGTCTCTTAAACTCCTCTTCGGTGAAGCCCATGTCGCGCTTGGTCATCTGGTAATCAGTGTCCAGTGTGGACTTGAAGATGAGCGGGTCATCCGTGTTGAGCGAGTAGTTAGCCTGGTCATTTTTGAACCTGGATATGGGGGAGGGGAGCAAGGGAGAAGTGCCCCCCGCCCCATTACTCATGGACGTCCACCCTCCTCTGAGCCTCATGGCACCCTTGGACGTGCCTGGAAGATCTCATCATTGTACAGAGGAAGAAACAAATTCAGAGAACTCCCGTGCCTTGTCTTAAGGCCACAAAACCAGCAACTCAAGACTGAAAGCATCCAGCCAGGCTTAGAGCCAGCTCAAGGCAGGAGAGGAGCCAGGTAGAAGGGGGCTTGGGGTGGGCTAAAAAAGCAACCCCCCGCCCCCCCCAGCTACCACCCTCTCTAGGCTTCCCCTTCATAGCCGCCACTCTGGAAGAGTTGTCTGCACCCCTCCTGCTGCGGCCATCCTCAGTCCCGCTGGGATCTGACTCTTCAGACCCACCATGGAAAGTGTTCTTGGCACCGTCTCTGACTGCCATCTTGTGGAGGCCAGAGGGCTTTTCCTAGCTCTTACCTCACCAGACTTGTATCGCAGAATTTTATACTGTTGACCTTTTCCCTAGAATTCTCCGACACCACTACTTGGCTTTCCTTCTGCCCGTCTCTTCAGTATCACTGTCCTTCCGGGTTTCTCTCCTAGGCCCTCCTGCTCCACCACCTGCTAAGGGCTTCCCCTCTCCTCCAAACACCATGTCTGCTTAGACGACTCGAGTCTTCCTCCAGCCCACAGACTGTAAACCCACGTGCCTCCAGGAACCTCCACTTGGAAGGCCTGTAGGTACCGCTCACTTCACGTTCTAAAGCAGACTTTGGGCCCCCGTTGTAAATGGAGCCCAAGCTCCCTTCCTTGTCATAATCTTGGCAGACAGACCATCAGTGCTGGCCTGTCTGTGGTCACCCAGAGTTCTTGGTGAACTTCTCCTGGGTCAGCTTTGCCCCCCTGAGGCTTCTGTCAGGACACCCTGAAGAAGGGCCAAGGCCATGGGGTGGGACTGGATGGATGGGTAGGGGAACAGACTCTCCAGGGGGAAGTGTCAAGATGGTGCTGGGGGAATGCCCAGAGACCACGCGGGCAAGAGAGACTCATCTTCCTCATTGCTAGGAGGCAGAAGCTGGAGTGTGGATGTTCCCTTGTGGGTAACAGGGCATTCTGCTAGAGCTGGATGGGGCTATAGGGCCCCCAGCTCCGCTTTCCAACAGCTGAGTGACCTTGGCCAAATTACACCACATCCAAGCTTTGGATTCCTCACTTGTCGTAGGATGAGGACAATAATTCCTGCTTCCCAAGCACTGGAAGAGATTCTATACCCGAGAGACCCAGTGGGGCCAGTGCCCAGTGTCTGCACCCCCTTTCCACCCTTGGCTTTCCTAGTAACAAAAACTGAGTGGGACCAGGCCTCACCGAACAACCGGGTGCTCCGTGTCAGGCTTCCAGGCGCCGGTGAGGTAGCTGGACCAGGGGCAGACCTGGAAGAGGCAGAGGGTGGCTGGCACGAACCTCCACATCCTCCCGGGCCACGCTGACCGCACCCCCCACCCCCCGCCTTCCCCTGGCCCCATCCAGAGCCACCTGCCCAGGCAGCATTCTTGCCCTGGTCACGCCAGTGGCCTTGTAGCTGAGTCCCACACACCTGTCAGCCCTGGTTTTCTCCCCCACCTAGCAGCAATTAGGCCCGAGGCCACGCCCCCACGCCCCTGGCCCCGCCCCGCTGACACCGCCTCCCTGTCCTCCCCTCCCCGGCCCCTCACCTCGAAGTGCATGTTTTCCTGCCGCAGCGTGTTGTAAAGGGCTGCATCCTCCAGGGTGTGGTAGCCGTGCCCCAGCCTCTCGGTCTTGAGCGTGTCCACAGCCTGCGGACAAGCAGCGTGGAGCCCAGCGTGGGCCTCCAGAGCGGGGGGAGCGGGAAGAAGGACCCCTCCACCAACCCGCACCACTCACCTCTTTCACCACCTCGGCGGAGCCCACCTCCCCGGCGTGGACCGTGCGGTGGACGCCGCTCTTCACGGCCTCCTGGAAGGGCAAGGGCAAGTTCAGGGGCAGCCTGGGGTTCTCCCCGCGGGCCTTGCCTTCACCGCACCCTGGGGCTGAGTCAGCCTGGCCTGCCTCCAGAAAGGGAGGTCTGGGTGGGTTTTGTTTTTGTAACCACGTGTAAGTGGTCGCTCTCATTTATTAGACAGTTGTTATGTGTCAGGCACTGTACTTGGTTTGGATACCCGAGGGTAACATTCACAACTGCGCTGATACTTGTCTTACAGGGAGGGGCAAGGGATCACAACCGAGGTAGACAGCTAGAAAGTGGGGGCTGAGCTCTGAAGCCAGGCAAACTCCAGAGCTCCTGTTCTCCACCCCAAGCTTCACCCCCTCCACAGGAAGGACGTCATGAGGTTTTAAGGGGTTGGCTCCATTCAACCCCGTCATCCCACCAGCTGGAACAGGGCCAGAGAAGAGACCGTCTTGCCCAAGGTCACAGAGCAAATCATTAGGCAGAAAGGCTCCAATACAGGACCCCCAGCATCCAGTGGGGTTTCTTCCTTGATACCAGAGTTCCAATTTCTAGAGCCCCTTAGAGAGTTTCCCTGATGACTCAGATGGTAAAGAATCTGCCTGCAATGCAGGATACTGGGGTTCAATCCTTGTGTTCCGAAGATCCCCTGGAGAAGGGAAAGACTACCCACTCCATTACTTTTTGCCTGGAGAATTCCACGGACAGAGGAGCCTGGCGGGCTCAGTCCATGGGGTTGCAAAAGAGTCAGACATGACTAAGCCACTAATACTTTAGACCCAAGTCAAGAACACTTGGAAGCCCAGGTGGCCTTGGGATCCCTGTCCACATGACCACGCCCTACTAGGGTGGAGATAAGCTCCCTGCATGTGGCTTCCCCATGCCTGCAGTTCCCTGACCTCCTTCCCCCAGGACCCACCGCGTAGGCCTGCACATGTCCAGGGAAGAGGCTGCTGCCTTCAATGGTCTCATCTCCAGCCAGGTCAATGGCCACCACAGTCTGCTCTCGGTACTTCTTACAGAGCTCCACCACCTCGGAGGACCAGCCTGTGGGCGAGATGCCCGCCGGGCCTCTGGCAGCAGCACGGAGGAGAAAGACATCCCACCCCACACACCCCTGCCTCCCACTCAAGGCCAGCGCAAGGCAGAGGGCCCCGGGTCCCGTCTTCCAGGCCTGACTCCACAGCCTTCCGGGCCTCAGCGTCCCCTCCTCACAGAGCGGACACCACCCACTGTGGCACAAGGTCACAGGGATGCTTTTGCCAAGGCCCCGTGGCTGACACCCTGAGGGCAGGGCCTGGGCTCAGTAAAGGACAAAAGGCAGTTCTCTTTCTCAATCCCCGACACCCACGTCAACTCAGCAGAGGGGCTGGAGGTCCACACAGGTTAACATTTAAACCTGAAACGTAACTCACACTCGTGTTACTAAACGTATTCCTAACTACTACCCACTTGCAACCAGTGAGGTCATCGTAAAGAATGAACTACACCACAGACTCTGCAACCAGATGGCCCTGGCTTCTGATCCGGGCTTTGTGCTTTGCTGATTGAGCCTCTACCTCAGTTTCGTCATCTGTCGAATGGGGATAAATGGTGGTTGAATTTATCGACCGCCAATGTCAAATTGGTCCTGCCTCTTAGGCCCCTGTGAGGATTAGAGAGAATACAAGCCACTCTGTCCCAGGGAGGCCCTGTGGGTTGACATCAGCCCCTCACTGAGGTCTCACTCCTCCGTAGGGCAGAGAATAGGGTGAGTACGGTCACCTCCTGTGACAAGGTGTATCTGAAGTCCAGAGAGGTGACGTGATCTGGCCAGAGTCACCCAGCCTTGGAAGCACAAGCCCTGGAGATGTGACCAGTGTCAGTCATAGGGAGACCCTTCAGGCCCCAGAGCTCAGACCCTAGTCCCAAGTTCCGCAGCTCCGACAGGAGGGGGCACAGCCCACTGAGTCTCCAGCGGGGACTGAGCACTGATGGGAACCTGGCTTAGGCGTCTCTCTATTGCGCAGGCTCCCTTCGTTTTGAGCCTCCTGCAGGTCACATGGCTCTCAGGCTCAGCCTCCCTGGGGAGCCAAGTCTGTTGCAGGAAGTTCTAAGCCTGCCCAGAAGGAAGCCCCACCACGGTCCAGCTGATGGGTTCAAGGGAGACTATGGGGTGGGGGTGGGGGTGGGGGGACACAGAGGAGACCAGGTCATGGTGGTGGCATCAGATGGGCGGCCGGGGTCACACTCACTGGGCTGGTGGCGCATGCAGCACAGGATGGACCGCACCTTCACGCCGAAGTCCCGCTCCCCCTCCTGCAGACCCTGGCTCACCAGCGATACCACCTCATCCGGGGTGAGGTCCCCTCTGTGTGTGGGGAAGAGAGGCATGGGCCCGAGACAAAGGCAGGCGTAAAGGACAGAGGCTGGGACGGAAGAGGGAGGAGAGAGAGGAAGGAGGGATCTTCCAGGAGAAGCCCTCGGCCCCACTAACCCACTGCCTCTGCGGAAAGGCCAAGGGAGACGGCCCCAAGGCCTAGGACACCCCCTTCCATCTTCCTTGGGTCTGTCTGGGGGGGCTTTCAGACCCGGAAGTGCTGTCCCAACTTGGGGGGTCATCAGACAGCCCCCTACTCAAGATGAAGAGCTCTGCTAAGCTAAGGTGTTCTGATTCCCACTTGTCCACAAGTATCAGAGTCATGGCTAGAAGGGGGCAAGGCGGTTGAGAGGTACCACGGGGGTCATCCCTGGGGTCTAGGCAGAAGGGGCAAGAATGGGTCATATCGCTTCAGCTACCGGGTGAGGAAGTGACCCCTAGATGTCACTGGATATGCAAGTTCATGTTCTTAGACCACAGGCCTGTGCCCGGGACTACGGATGGCAAGACACAGCCAAACGCTTCTGCCCAAGGTAAGACCAGAAGCCTGGGTGAGGGATGGGGACCACGTCCCTCATGGCAGAGTCAGGCCCATCTTGCTGAGGCTGCGGACCAGCTCAGGATGCAAGATCAAAGTCTTGTGTGGGCCAGGGCTCCTAGTGTGCCCCTCGGCCCCAGGCCCGGCCAGGCCACCCCACCATGACCCTCCGGGGGTCACTCACTCAGCCTGGTTCCAGGGCATTGGCTCCACCTTGGAGTTGGCCAGCAGGTGCGGGCTGTAGCGCACTTCCACGTACACCACGCGCTCCTTGGCCTTCATCTCCACAAACTCATAGGCAATCCTTTTGATGGCCTCCCGGCAGCCCCTGGGAAGGGAAGAGAGGGCTTCGAGACAACCTTCCCCAAGTCCCTTGGGAGCTCCAGGAGTGACAAAGCTGTCCCCAACCCATGGCAGACCAAACCCACGTGGGGCTCCCAATCTCTCATCCCCCAGCCACAAGCTCTGGGCCTCAACTGGAGAAGATCCTAGAAGCCCAGCACATCCTGTCAGCTCTGCTTCCCAACTCGATGCCAATCCTCACCCCCTCCAGCCCAGTTCGACCACCTCACCAGCCTCTCCATCTCCACACTTGCCCGGGTACAGCGGCTACTGCAGTCTTTTAAAAACGGAAATCAAAGAACACTGCTCTGGGACTTCCCTGGTAGAGTGGTTAAGAATCTGCCTTGCAGTTCAGGGAACCAGGGTTCAATCCCTGGTCAGGGAACCAAGATCCCACAGGCTGCTGGGCAACTAAGTTCACGTGCTGCAACTAGAGAGACCCCGCACCTCACCTAGAGAGTCCTGCACCAAACTAGAGAGACCCTGCACCACAACTAGAGTCCCGCACCTCAACGAAAGATCTCACGTCACACCATGAAAGATCCTGAGTGCGTAACTAAGACCCGATGCTGCCAAAAATAAAAGTGTCGCTCGTTCACTCTAAACACTAATGGCGTCCCACCTCACAGAGGAAATCTCAACTCCGAGACCCCGCCCACAAGGCCTGCATAATCCTATCCCTGCCAACCTCCCCGCTCCTTCCTTGAGGCCTCCAGGGCCGCCTTTCCACCCAGTGAACAGTCAAGCTAGTTCGCAGGTCGGGGCCTTCGTGTCTGCAGCTCCCTGGCCTGCAGGCTCCTCCTCGGATCACCCTGTCCTCCCTGCTCCCTCCATTCAGAGCCCGGCTCCAGCCTCACCTCCTCAGGGAGGCCTTCCCTGGCCACTTCATTTTAAAACAGCCCCTCGCCCGTCTCCAGCCCCCTCCCCTGGGCTCCAGTTTTCTCACTGCCACTCATCGCCAGCTGACATGACAGATCATGTGGTTTCTTTATTAGCCAGGTTTCACCTCCCCAACCTGGAACAGAGTCTCCGTGAGACAAGGACCCTTCTGTCTTGTCATGGCTGCGATCCCCCAGCCAAGGACAGAGTCTAGGGCACTGCAGCCGCTGGAATATTTCTTGAGTGACAGATGTAGGCCAGCAGGGAGGAGAAATAGGAGAAAAGGACACACAGAGGCAACAACAAAACCAGAGGAGGGGGACTGCACCAAACTGAAGCGCTTCCACGCAGCAAAGGAAACAGGAGCAGAGTGACAGGCAACCTACCGAATGGGCGAAAGCGTTCGCAAACCACACATGCGGTAAGGGGCTAATGCCCCGAATGTGGAAGGAAGTCCTACAACTCAACAGCAAAGCAAACAACACAAAAACTGATTTAAAAAAAGAAATAGGCAAAGGGGGACTTCCCTGTTGGTCCAGTGACTAAGACTCTGTACTCCCAATGCAGGGGGCCCAGGTTCGATCCCTGGTCAGGGAACTGGTCCCACAGGCCACAACTAGGACCCAGCACAGCCAAATAAATAAATAGTTTTAGAAAATAGAGGACCTGAATAGACATTTGTCAAAAGACATACACATGGCCAACAGGCACACGAGAAGGTGCCTGACGTCACTAATCACCAAGGAAATGCAAATCAAAACTGCCTTAAGCCTTCAGGAAGCTGGCTCTCTTCTGTCTTGTGGCCAAGAGACGGGAGCTGGTAGCAGCGCAGGATAGGCACCTTGGCCTGTATATGAGCTCTGCCCATCCATGTGTCCTGGTGCGGGGCGTCCAGGGGGAGGCAGCATGTGTACCATAGCAGCTACTGATGGGCCAAGGATGGGGGCCCTGGGGGCCCTCCAGGCTGAGTCCAGAAGCTTCCAGAAAGCAGCCAGCAGCCTTGGCACACATCTTCCTTCCTTCCCCAGGACTCCTCATTCCTGTCCTGCCACTTACGCAGCCAAGGGCTTCTATCCGACTCACACCCTCCTCACTGGTCCTCCAACAGCTTGTCCTCCAGACCTTTCCTTAGGTCCAGCCCTCTGGACAATAGCACACCTTTCCCTCCCAAGGATCCGTCCATACTTCCTCCTCCAGGCAGCCTTCCCTGCCTCCTCCAGCCCCTCCACTTCATCCCTCTCTGATCTCCGGCAGCATTGACTGCCAAGGCCCAGTTATCGCCTGCCTTGGGAAACTCTGCTTCATGCCAGGAAGCTCTAGGTGACACCAGGACAAGAATCTGGGATTTGCCCCTTGCCAGCTTTGTAGTCCTGAGTAGGGTCCTTCAACTTTCCTGAGCCAACGAGGAGGGGGTCCAGTTCTCAGGACTGTGAACAACTACAAAGAGGACAGTTCTGTGAGCTGTACACATTACCTTCTTCTATATCTAAGAGAGTCTATTTTTTTTTGTAATGGAAGGAATGAAAAATAAATTTAAAAATGGAAGGAATGAAAAGTAACATCAAATCAGCAGTGCCTGGCTATCAATAAAGGTAGCAACTGTCCTCATAGTAACAGGGGGCTTGCTGAGGACAGCGCTGTGTCCATTCCAAACCCCAGCCTGGGAGGGAGAGGGTCATAAGCCCCGTAGTCTAGATGAGGGAACTGAGTCCAAAGAGAGGGCAAATCTCCCCAGTGTCGCAATTATCTCATGAAAGATTCTGACACTAGGATCTGTGTTCTCAACCCCCTACATTCTGACACTTTGCTATGGAAGGAGAGGAGTTTCAGCCCATCACACCCACTTTCCAGAAGAGAAAACCAAGGCCCAAAGGCATGGGAGGTTTGCAGCAGGAGTGCAGCCAACGCTGAGAGGTAGAGCAGGGTGGCCCAGTGCCTTCCCCTGCCCCACAGGCTGAGGCGTGCAGGCTGGGAGCCGGCAGCATGGCATGACGCTGCCCAGGGCCTGCGGGGTGGGAAGACTCACGCGATGGCAGGCATGTAGTAGTCAAACTTGGCCAGGAAGCCTGGGAGGCTGAGTGGCTTGTCCATGCCGATGATGTTCTGTAGCCCCTCTGGTGTGTCGGCGGGGAGGGGGATGCCCCTCTTCCTGGGGACAAAACAATGAGGATGGTGGATAACCCTGGGCAGGACCCTACCAGTTCCTCACAGGGTGCAGGTATCCAGCTCCTCTCATTGGACAGATGGGAAAACTGAGGCCCAGGGTGTATAGAACCAGGACCCAAATCCTTCCAGGACCTCCTGTCACCGAAGCCATGACCAGCCAACAAATCTCAAGGAGGACAACTGGTGTTAAAGCCCATTTAACACGTGAACACACACACACACACACACACACACACACACACACACACGGGTGTCTGGGAACATGCAACGTGCAAGGGCAAGCTCGCTGTAGAGCTAGCTGATCCTGTGCCAGGTCAAGGGTTATCAGGGGCAAGAACTGCAGCACACAATGCCCGGGGCAGGGGCAGGCGCCGGACTTCCCCACCCCACCCTCCCGTGGCCAGCACATCAGAGAGGCTGGCCCAGCCCATTGTCTTGGCAGAGCACCGGGGCCTCCCCAGCTCTCTCCCCTCCCTGCCCACAGCCCCGCACTTGTGGCCGCTCAGTACAGGCTAGCTGAGAACAGCCTTTCTGCTCCAGGGCAGAGCTCCCTGCCTCCTCCCAGCTGGGGCCCACTGGGTGCAATGCTGGGCTGGCTTCCTCACTTCTCTGCTCTTCTGGGCCCTGTCCCCAACCATGAGTGACCCTGGGCCTCGGTTTTTCCACTTGTAAGATAAAAGCAACAGGCAGAGAACCCCAGACAGTCAACAGATGCTTCTCCCATGAGGGTCAAGAGATCAAAGGAACTGTAGGAGACAAACAGGCAGAGAATGTTTAAAAACCTTAAAACGAACAGCCTCAAGGAGAGGAGACAATGCTCCATCCTTGAAACGAGAACGGTCCTTTTTAAAAAGGGGACATTCAGGGAGGAAGAAAGAGCTTTTGGAGATCTAGAAGAATAGGGCAGTGAACATCAGGATGTAATAATAAAAGGAATGGAAAATAGAATTGAGAAAATCCTCCTGCAAGTAGAACAAAAGACAAGATAAAAAATACGAGCAAATGATTAAGAATATTAAGTGATTCAACCAAGAGGTTCAGCCTCCAGTGACCGGCAGAGCAAGAACAGAAGACAGAAGGGATGACACTGCCAAAGAAATGAAAAATGGACCAAAGTGTTGCAGTCCTTTTAATAGCTTGTTATTAAAATACTAAAATGTTTCTCTACATAAATACCTGTTCCCTAAATCCCCCTAAACATGTCCTCTTCCACTTCAAGGTGACCCCAGGCCTCATGAGTGTCCTGTGGGTATCACCAGGGGTCACCCTGGTGCTCAAGCTCCTAGTCAGGCCTCCATCCCTGCCAGGTGTTCCCAGGGAAGATGATGCTCATGGTGTGGTCCTGGCACCAAGGTCAGGTGCTCAGTGCCCCCTGGGCCTTCCCCTGCTGGCCAGCCTGCCTCAAAGTCACCCTCATGAGGCCATCCCCAGTCACCACGGCCTCTGCAGAGCCCGTACCAGTTGTTAGATGCTATATTTGGCATATCTTTCTGGGAGCTGGTGGGTGGAAGGCAGAGACAGTAAGGCTAAGCCACCAGCTCCCATATTTCCAAACACAGTGGCCACATTTGCCACAGGCCCCCTGGACCAATCCAGAGATCCAGAACTTTTTTGTTTTTTCTTTTTCTTTTGCTACTCCATATAGCATGGAGAATCTTAGTTCCCTGACTAGGGATCGAGCCTGTGCCCCTGCATTGGAAGAGGAGAGTCTGAACTGCTGGACCACCAGGGAAGTCCCAGATCCAGAGCTTTCAATCTTCTCCCTCTTCCCATTGCCATCTGAGGACCCACAGTGTGCTGGCCCTGGATAGATAGCCAAGACCAAGGCGACTCTTGTGTCTGACCACCCACTTTGTGCCTCCCCCAAGCCCCACCCTCTCCTAGGCTCCACATTTCCTAATGTGGCTCATCCTTCCTGGCGCTAGTTAGGATAAAGACCCCACCTGCCAATGCAGGAGACACAAGAGACACAGATTCGCTTCCTGGATTGGGAAGGTCCCCTGGAGTAGGGCATGGCAACCCACTGCAGTGTTCTTGCCTGGAGAATCCCAGGGACAGAGGAGCCTGGTGGGCTACAGTCCATGGGGTCGCAAAAGAATCGGACGTGACTGAAGCAACTTAGCACGCACACACTCCTCCACACACTCAGTTGCCTGAACCTGAGTCAGGAGCCTCCCCCAGATGCCATCTCCCTTACTCATCAACAGCTGGTCCCCAAGCCCCAGTTATTTCATCCTAAATATTTCTCCCATTAGTCTCTTCTTCTCCACAGCCACCCAAGAGAGATCTTTTTGCCCCACAGATAGAGTGACCTGGGAAGGCTTTTTGGAGGAGGTGAGAGTTAAGCAAAGAGTGAGATTGTCCTTTTCCCCTGAGGGAGCAGAAAGAGATACAGGCAGGTAGGATCAGAGCCCTGCTAGAGCCCCAGGAAAAAGCAATGAGAAAATTCCAGAGCAGGGCAGCTGCAGATCAGAGCGGGGCCAGTGGTAGATGAACCAAGGGGCAGGCAGGGCCAGACGGGGGCTTCACAGGAGCTGGGACCTTATCCTGAAAGCCCTGGGAAGCCACTGAAGGATTCTAAGCAAGCGGGTGACATGCAAAGATGTACTTTTTAAAGAGCTTCTCCTGGCTGGGGTGTGGGGAACAGAGGAAAACCAGGGCAGAAGCCAGAGCTGCTGCAGCGGTCCCCTAGGAGACGGTCCAGCACCGCTCAGGGGACTGGGCCTCTGGAAACTGCTGGACTAAGATTGCAAAACTCCTCCCTGGGACCCAAGGTTGAGACAGGAAAGAACTGTTCCTAGGTCCCTTCCCACCTGGTGGCTCAAACAGTAAAGAATCCACCTGCAATGCAGGAGACCCGGGTTTGATCTCTGTGTCAGGAGATCCCCTGGAGGAGGGCATGGCAACCCACTCCAGTATTCTTGCCTGGAGAATCCCATGGACCGAGGAGCCTGGAGGGCTGCATACGGTCAGTGGGGTCACAAAGAGTCAAGACACGACAACCGAGTGGCTAACACTTTCACTTTTCACTTTCCCCTGCCACCCACAGCCACTCACGGCAGCCAAACCTCTCTCCACCGAGGGCCAAGCTCAGTTCTTAGATGGCTCCCCAGTCAGCCATGGTCATGCCCTGGTTGTTGCTCAAAATTCTCTGCCTTGCTTGGTGTTGAGATACACTAAGAGCCAAGAAGATTTCCTCTTCTTAGGCTCCAAAATCACTGCAGACGGGGACTGCAGCCATGAAATCAGAAGACAACTGCTTCTTGGCAGGAAAGCTATGACACATCTAGACAGTGTGTTGAAAGGCAGAGACATTACTCTGCCCACAAAGATCTGTATAGTCAAGGCTATGGTCTTCCCAGTGGTCACATATGGTTGTTCAAGCTGGACAGAAGAAAAGGCAGAATGCCAAGAATTGATGCCTTCCAACTGTGGTGCTGGAGAAGACTCCTGAAAGTCCCTTGGAAGGCAAGATCAAACCAGTCAATCTTAAGGGAGACCAACCCTGAATATTCACTGGAAGGACTGATGCCGAAACTGAAGTTCCAGTATTTCGGTCGTCTGATGCAAATAGATGACCCATTGGAAAAGTCCCTGATGCTGGGAAAGATTGAGGGCAGAAGGAGAAGAGGGCATCAGAGGATGAGATGGCTGAACAGCCTCGCCGATGCAATGAACATGAAGCTGGGCAAACTCTGGCAGATGGTGAGGGACAGGGAGACCTGGAGGGCTGCAGTCCATGGGGTCACAAGGAGCTGGACACGACTGAGCAACTGAACAACAGGAACAAGAGCCAAATAAAGAGGATGAACACAGGCTTTGGTTTTCAAAGTCCATCCTCCTCCAGTAGGAGCCAAGACACCCTGGGCAGGAGCTGTCCCCCTGAGGACCTCCACATCCTTGTCAGTAAAACACAGATTGTACTTTCTTTTCAAGGTACAGGAAAGAACAAATGAGACTATTTGTGTGTCCAAGGAAAGATGGCAGACTCTCAAGTCCAATGACCTGGGTTTAAATCTCAGCTCTTATTTAAAGGCTGTGTGATCTTGGGTAAGTTACCCAAATTCTTTGCTTATTAGGTCTGGCATGTTTGAGAACACTTAGCATGAACTAACCAAGATGTAGTAGAAGAGTTCAAGGAGATTAACACAGGCTTTGTAGAACTGCAAGGGCCATGTGTGGACACTGGCTTTGACCCTGAGCAAGTGGGGAGGGTTTGAGCAAGGAAGTGTACCAATGGCACAATGTCCTATGATGATTGTTCTGACTCCAGTACTGTGGGGACAGTAGATGGGGGAGGTCAGGGTGGACACCTGGAGACCAGTCAGGAAGTCGTTGCAATAGTCCAATGGCTCAGACCAGGATGGTGACAGGGAAGAGACAGTGGTCAGATTCAGAATGGGCTTTGGAGAAGAGTGGCAAAGTCAGGAAGGAGATTGAGAAAGAAATTAAAGCTCCCAGAGACAAGATAGAATAAGAAGAAACAGGTGAGGGAATTCCCTAGTGATCCAGGAGTTGGGACTCTCTAGTCTCACTGCCGAGGGCGGTCAGGGAACCATGATCCTGCAAACCATGTGGCATGGGAGCCAAAAAAAAAGAGAAAGAAACAGGTGAGAACACAGTCAACGAAGGCTCAAGTCACAGGGCAGGTAAAAGGCCACTGGATTTGGCTGGGGTGGAGGAGGCATCAGACAAGACACACCCATGCTTCCCCCTCTCAGCCCCAGCCCACCCCACCAGGGAGGCCTCCAGCATGTTCTGTCCATATTCCAGTCTGACTGACTCCCCAGTCCCCTGCCTGCGGACCTCACGATCAAACTCCAGCTGGATCAAACCCACACCCCTTCTCTAGAGCCCAAAGAAGTGCCTAGATGGTTCCCAGGATGCCAAGTGGACGTGGGAAACAGAAAACCCGACCAGCTGCCCTACAAGGGCTCCTCCCTTTCCTCCTCCCTCTAACCTGCCCTGGACACTCTCAGATTCTTGCTCCACTAATGAGCATGATATGACCCCTCAGTGGGTGCCCGCGATTAGATCCCATCTGGGTACCTGGTTAACCCACCCTAATGGCCTCATTAGGGGCCCTGTGCCAACAGCTGGTACTTGACATTGGGGAATGGACAGGCAGAGATAAGCCCAATGGCTTCACCCCACTTAGTCAGAACCATAGGTTATAATTAATAATAGTAATATCATCATAAAGTGACATTTATGGAGCACTTAGCATGCTTGCCCTCAGCTAAGTAGTTTTTGTGCAATGCTTCATCGAAACCTCCAGCTCACTGGGCAATGGTCAGGGGCATGGACTCAGGATCACACCTGTTTACATCACAGCTCACTTCCCCGACCCTGACTTGGTTTCCTTGCTGGTACACTGGGGACAATAATATACCCATCTCATAAGTTGTCACGAGATTTCAGTAAGTCAATCCAAACAACGTGGAACTCTCCAGAGGCCTCCTGGGGAAGAAGGCCTCTTATCTGTGGACTTACCTGCCATAATATAAGATGGTTTCGGGCTTGATGGCGCCATCCAGGTGGACATGCAGTTCTACCTGCAAGGGCGCAGAGGGGAAAAGAGAGAACACAAACACCCATAAACTGGAGAACCCAGGACAGAGGAGCCTGGTGGGCTATAGTCCATGGGGTTGCCAAGAGCTGGACATGACTGAAGCGACTTGGAACGCGATGTGTTTGTTTCAGGAGGACAGCAAAGGGACTCAGCCACACACATACATATATCCATTCTCCCCTTGTGTTCCAAGTCGCTTCCCCACAGGGAAGACCAAGCAAGAATACTGAAGTGGGTTGCCATGCCCTCCTCCAGGGAATCTTCCCGACCCAGGGGCTGAACCAGAGTTTCTAACGTATCCTGCATTGGCAGGTGGATTCTTTACCACTAGCACCACCTGAGAAGCCCTAATTGGCTATGCTCCAATACAAAATAAAGTTTTTGTTTTTTCTTAAAAGATCTTCCCACAACCCCAGAAAGGGCACTAACTACTTGGCTATCTTGGTGATCCTATCCCGTATGCTCATCCCCACCAATGACACTCGGGACCCAAAGCAAAGAGCTTACAGACAGGGATTTGGGGGCCAGCTCATTAGACTGGACTCCCAGCTCTGCCTCTTCTCTGGCTGTGTGATCTTAGACAAGACACTTGAGCTCTCTGAGCCTGTTTCCTCAACAGCCAAAAAGACTGCCTCCCTGTCTAAGAACAATTTAAGGATTTTAAAAGGTGGCAGGTTCAGCCTATGGGCAAGAGCCCCTGCCTCTCGGCCAGGGTCTTTCGCACAGGATGTTAAGAAAAGCAGAGCAGGTGCTGGGAGATGGTGGGGAAGCAACTGCCATCTCTCTGGAAGAGCTTTTCCCCAGCCAGGGAGAGACTCAGACCATTTTTTAATAAACATATCTACCAGGGTGGGGCCTTCTCTGGAACTTGGGAGTCTGGACAAGAAGTGGTCACCCTGGCTGGGGAGGGAGTAGCCAGGGACCCACTGGCCCAAGGGCATCCTGGGAGCACCCACATGAGCTGTCTCCTGTGTGGGAAACCCAGCCTGGGGCCCCCAGGGGGCCAGCAGGGCCAGGGCCGCCAAGCCCCCCATCAGCAGGATATCAGAGTAATCAGATCTCTCCGGAAGTCATTCAGCCGACAAAGAACCGACTCTGTCGCAGACTCTGCATCCAGTGAGTTGCTGGATTCCTCGACAAGATGAATTGAATGCCCACTCAGCCAAAAGTTGATTGGATTCTCGAAAAGTACTCTGCGCTGGGAACACTGAAGGGCACGGAACTGCCAACCAGCTATTTGACCTTGGACAGGTGACCTCACCTCTCTGAGCCTCCAGTTTCTTTCTTCTTCTTTATTTTTTTAAGTCTTTATTGAATTTGTCACAATATTGCCTCTCTTTTATGTTTTGGGTTTTTTGTCCACAAGGAAAGTGGGATCTCAGCTCCCTGACCAGGGATCCAACCCACACTCTCTGCACTGGAGGAGTCCTGGTCCCATGAGGCTTACAGTCCAGCAAGAGGGACAGACGTTAAGTAAATGTCACACTGGTGAATGCACAGTCACAAGCCAAGTCAGTTCCTGGGAGGCATGAACACAGACCTAGCAAAGAGGTAACAAACAAAAGAACTCACTCAGCTAGAGAGCTGATGATGGTTTCCCAGAGAAAGCAGAGGTTGAGCTAAGAGCTAAGGATGAGATTTCCTAAAGGAAATCAACCCTGAATATTCATTGGAAGGACTGATGCTGAAGCTCCAATACTTTGACCACCTGATGCAAAGAGCTGACTCACTAAAAAAGACCCTGATGCTGAGAAAAATTGAGGGCAGGAGAAGATGGGGGCAACAGAGGATGAGATGGTTGGATGGCATCACTGACTCAATGGACACGAGTTTGAGCAAGCTCCCGGAGATGATGAAGGACAAGGAAGCATGGTGTGCTGCAGTTCATGGGTATCAAAGAGTCTGACATGACTTAGAGACTGAACAGCTACAGGCAAAAGCGGGGGTGAGCAGGAAGGCTGGAAGAGCATCTAGACAGAGGGAACAGCATGTACGAAGGCCATGCAGTGGGAGTAGAACATGGTGTGAGAAGGACTGAACACAGGTCCAGAGAGGGGAGCACTGGTGGGACTGGAGAGGCTGTAGGGACACAAGGAGGATTGGGTTCTGATCTGAGAGTGACAGAGACATGGGTTTGATGCTGAAGAGGGCAATGCCTAGCTAGAGACAGCTGCAGTCAAGTTTTTGAATGATGATGGTGTCTCGGACTGGGATGGTGAGGCCGACATGCCAGGTGGACAGAAAGGGGCGTCAAGGAGGATGTTTCAGGTCAGGCCTGGGTGAGAAGCGATTCTGACTCTGAGACAGAGAGCCCAGGGAGAGGTCAAGCTCTGAGCAGGGAGGAGGGGTGGAGGCATGGGGAATGAAGCGCAGTCAGTGCAATCTTGGGTATGTGCAGTGGGGATGCCGCTGAGATCTTCACGTGCACCTGGACTGAGCCAGCGTCTGTGCAGGTCTGGAGCTCCCAGAGAGATCCAGGCTGGAGCTGTGAGTCGGAATATGGAGCCTGTGGTCTTCAATGAGCTCCCCCAGGGAGGGAATGTAGAGGAAAAAGCAGGAAAGGAAGCCTGGGCAAGCACCAGTGCCTAGTGGCTTACAGAAGCGTGTGAGACTGGAGAAGAGCTGCCAGAGAGATGGAAGGGAAGCCAGGAGCGTGCGGGCTGCAGAAGGTGAGAGGTGAGCCGATTTCAAGAGGGAGGAGTGCCCTCCCCAGCCCCTGCAGCTGGTGCAGGGGGCTGAATGGTGAGCCCCACAAAAGACAGCTATATCCTAATCCCCAGAACACAGACTTTCATACAGGGCAAAAGATGGGATGAAAGATCTTGAGGAGTTTTTCCTGGATTATCTGGGTGGCTGCTGCTAAATTGCTGCAGTTGTGTCTGACTCTGCGACCCCACAGATGGCAGACCACCAGGCTCCACTGTCCCTGGGATCCTCCAGGCAAGAACACTGGAGTGGGTTGCCATTTCCTTCTCCAATGCATGAAAGTGAAAAGTGAAAGTGAAATTGCTCAGTCATGTACAACTCTTCGCGAAGCCATGGACTGCAGCCTACCAGGCTCCTCCATCCATGGGATTTTCCAGGCAAGAGTACTGGAGTGGGTTGCCATTGCCTTCTGCATATCTGGGTGGGCCCTACACCCAATCCCCTTTTCCCTCATGAGGGAGGCAGAGAGTTTTGAGAGACACACACGAGAGGAAGCAGCACCGGGACCACGGCAGCAGGTGAAAGTGAGGTGACCGCAAGGGACACCTGGAGCCCCCAGAAGCTGAAGAGCTGACAAATGGTTACAAGAAGGGAGGAGAGGTTCCCTCTCAGGAGAAAATAGAGGAGGAGTCAGCAGGGGGAAGGGACAGGACAAGTCTCCTATCAGAGGGACATTCAGGCATTAAATGTCTGAATCAGCTGGTGAGAGATGAGGCCAGAGAGAGAGTTAGGCAGGTGGAGGGCAGGGAGATCTCACAGGTCACAGGAAAGGGCAATCTGCTGAAGGGTTTCCCACAGGGGAGTCCTGGTAAAAGCTTTCTCTGGCTGCTGTGTGGAAAGCAGGCTGAAGGAAGTCAGAACAGAGGACAGAGACCTGAGGGTGTGGTCCAGATGGGAGACCAGCCCCACAGGGAAGCCCGGCTGCAGCACCAGACACGGTACATGTTCAGGGAGCAGGAACTGGCTGGTTCCCCGGGAAGGAGGCCTCAGCGAGCCCGCAGGATACAGGTGGCAAGGGCGCCCCGGGGGGAGGGAAAGCAGAGCCTGCCTCTTGCGCCCACCCCCTGTGCTCTTCAGGGCCTCCTGGGAAGCTGCCCAGACACATTTCAGGGGAGGAACAAAGGTCAGGAACTGCCTGCACTGGCTGGCGGTCCATGCTCAGGCAGGCCTCCCACTGCACTTTCTGGAAAACAGGTGACCCATGAAGAAAGCTGTCGGCCTACCCCAGATGACAAGCGGGCACAAGCTCAGAGACAGCGGGGGTGGGGGGACCCAGCTCTGTAGGCCCCCTTCAGGGGAAAGAAATAGCAGTGACCTCCAATTTACCATCTCCTATGTTCTGGACCATCTATATCCATCATTTTATATCATCCTTGCTGGGAAAGATCGAAGGCGGGAGGAGAAGGGGACGACAGAGGATGAGATGGTTAGATGGCATCACTGACTTGAAGGACATGAGTTTGAGTAAGCTCCAGGAGTTGGTGATGGGACAGGGAGGCCTGGGGTGCTGCAGTCCATGGGGTCGCAAAGAGTCAGACACGATTGAGCGACTGAACTGAATATCATCCTTACAACCAGGGAGGTAGGGACTTCACTCCCATTTTACACATGAGGAAACTGAGGGTCACAAAAGTATCCAAGGATGCAAGGGCAGTGATGGAGTTAGGATTTGTACCCAGGTCTGAACTGAGCTCCTGCTCCACTGTCTCTGCAGGCCTAACCTCAGATGTAAGGAGCTGCTTACTGTTATCAGACCCTTTATTTCCTTTCATCTTTGCCCCTAGGCAAGCTCCTCGGGGGACACCCTAGCTCCATGTTGCAGATGGGGAAATGGACTTGCCAAGCTGAGCTCAGAAATTCAGGAAACTTCCGGGTTACTGAGACCAACAGGGGCAGAGCTGGGGCAGGACTCAAGCCCCTCCACCTCTACCCAAGTCCTGTCCACCGGCCATATTACCTCCCCAGAGCTCGCAGCACACCTGCACTAGGCCTCCTGAGTGCTGGGGTGGGGGGCAGGGTGAGGGAATCTCAAACCCCGCCCGCTGCACTCACTCTCCACGAGGCTGACTCACAGCGAGCATCTGACAGGACTACAGGAAATCCTCCAGGTCTGAACAGGAAACATCCCCAGTTACCAAAAAATATTTACTAAGCCCCCCAACCCCAGGTGCCAGGCACTGTGGGGAACACAGGGAATCTGTGCTCTCAGGAGATACCAGGCAGGCAGGTGAGGCCCAGGAAGGAATCTGCACTCCCCAAGGTCCCTGGACGCACCGG